ATTGTGCCATTCTAAGTAAAGCTCATCGTTATTGGACTACAACTCATCAATGTTGTCTCGACGTATTCAAAGTTGCTCCACACCTTGTGATTGATAATCATCTCAAGGAGAAACACATAATTATCCAAATCTTACAATGATCCTTAGACTATTAACACTCCATGTGCGCTGGATTTGTAGCGCTCACATTATCTCGAACCAAGGAGTTTAAGTGTGATGTGGTCTGATCACCAATTGATGGTTCCTCTGTCTTTGTCTTTCTTCTTCCTTTCCCAAAATTTGTGGCTTTGATTCAAAATAACTTTCTCCTTTCCTTATTGCCTTTAGAGTTTGAGGAAACTTACCTTAAAACCTAACTTGCTAAACATTTAAGGCTTCATAATATTGAAGATTCCTTAAGGTTTGTTAACCCTAACTTACCTTTTGGATGTGCAATAGGCTTGAAATTTCCCTAAGATAATGGTAATGTCGTTCTTACTTAGCTTTGGCAGGCATTGCTCTGATAAGGAACATCAAAACACAACGGAGTTTTGACTATAGTACCTAACTCTGGGAAGCATTACTCCGGCACCAACTTTTCCTTGAAAAGTTACATACATGCATCTAGCTTCAAGAAGCATTGCTCTGATATTAACTGTCACAATCCTGAAACTTTAACCAAGATCCGTGCAGCGTTTAAGCCTTAGGGATAAAAAGCGTAAGCAAACTTAACTCAAAATGTTACACAAAGATGTGGAAGCAAATATAATTGAACTGGAAGAAAAGAATTTGGGAAAAAGTAATTATGTTATTCACAAGAGAAAACAAATACCTAAGATTCTAAGCAAATAACTTATTAATGCTAGAATGCTTAAATTCCTATGACTACTTGGGTAATTAACTTGATACCCTAGAACTTATGCCTAAGCGTCCTATTTATAATAAGTTTTCCCTAATCCTAAAACAACTTTACTTCTAATAGTCTAGTACAGCTAGATTAAGTAATAAGAGATTAAAGTAAATAAACATTCTAACTAGCCTAGAGTCATAGTGCAAATAAAATAAATAATTACCCAATAACCCTACACAAATTCCCTCATATATTGCTCTGTTCAACCTTCAGCTCTTCATGCGAACTTCTTGTGTCGTTGGGCCTATAGTCTTGCAAGATTGGGTTTCTTGGCGTGTTTACGGTCCATTGATTTAATATTTGTCCCGAGTTTATGTTGGCGCGAGGTTGATTTCTAGCCTTGGGAGGTGTAGGGCCCCTATTTGTGCTGCTATCCTGACTAGTCTTGGAAGTTGTGTGTGACTCGGTTTTACGAACTGTGACAAGTTGGCTCGGTTGCCATACCAAGCATGGCAGCAAGGTTAAAGTTTTTTTTTATTTTTTTTGTTAAATATTTATTGTTATTATTATTTTTTAGATTTTTTAATGGAATTGAGGGCCTCTAGGCTTGATGGACTGAGAGGCCACTTAAAAGCAAGTAAGGCTTCTTTTAGCCTTAACCCAATAAATAGGCCTAAAGAAAATTGAACCCAATAATAGCTTAATAATGAGATAAAAAAAATAAAGATAAAGTCAAACACAAAATGGTGTCTACAATGTTTTCTTTTCATGTTATTTATTTTACTTGCACTTCAAATAAAATTAAAATTTTACTAAATTTTTAAAAAATTATCTTTATAAATAGTCCATTTATGTTTCATTGTAAGGCACCAAGTTGCCAACTAAGCTAGTTAGAAAGCTATCAAGCATTTTGCTTAGGTCTAAAGAATAATATACATATTGTTTTTCCCAATTCGTTTCTTCAGTTGTCTTGCCCTCTTGCATTATTACAATTGAAGAAAGGAATTGGGATAAATAATAAGTATATCACTTCTCAAAGAAAATAAAATACCTAAGACTTAAGCAAATTGTTTGATAGCTTTCTAACTAGCTTGGTTAGTAACTTAGCTTTACAATGAAACATAAAGAGAATATTTATAGTGATAACCTTTCCTAAATTTAAGAGAATTCTAATCTTACTTTAAAGTAAATTATATAAAAAAGTGTTATATGCATAATAATACAAAACTAGCCTAAAATCTTAAACTAATTTAGTCACCACTTTTGTTGGCAGCATTACATAAAAATTTTAACCCTAGTAAATTACTGTCCAATATTACTAACGTGTAATGCATTCGAAAACTCCCAAGTATCACTAGTTCAACGATATCCATCGCCGGTCTGATATTCCCATCGGGTTAGACAAGTCATAGATTCACGGTCCTTGAAACCAAGGGTCTAGTGGACTAACTGCATTAGGCCATTTTTCTTTTCAATTTGTTTGTACAGTGGCCACACTTTTTGACTTTCCTCCCTTATTACGCATTTTCCCCCTTATTTTATAACAACTTTTGATGTTTTCTTTTTCTTTTTTGTAATAATTTTTTCTTAATTATTTTATAACCTTTCTTTCATATAATAAATATAATTAATTTATCATCACTTTTGCCAAGAGTGTTATTGTTTATATGCAATTGCGATATGGTTGGTAAAAGTTTTTAATTCTTACAATATTAAATTACTTCTAAATTGAAAAAATTCAATTATTTGTATTTTAGAGTTTATGTTTTGAAAACATTTATATTTATATATATAAATTGATTATTTAAATACATATTAAAATAAAAATAAAATACCCTCACCTTTTTAACTTTTAATCATAATCAAAACGAGTTTATTTGTTCTCAAAATAGACAATCCGTTCCAAAAGTGTAAATATCATTAACAGAAATAATGAAATAATTAAAATACCATTTCTTATTTCTTTCATTTTTTTTCTCTCAAATAATGTGTTCAGTCGACCACCCCACTACAAGTGCTCTCCAAAGAAGGGATCAAGTCCTCCCCAAGGGAGAGGAGCACCTCAAAAAAGGCAGCACCAATAGTTGCTCTTTTTGTTAAAAAAAAAAATTATATAATAATAATTTTTAAAATTAATTAAAAATAAAATTATCTTTTCAATATTATCACATCATCAAATAGACAGAAATACTAATAATTTATTAACGGCTTGATATATATATCTAGCGAAAGATTTTTTTAAGACAGAGTATCTATTTCAAAAACTAATGAACCTAGTTGAAATTATAACTAAAAATTAAAGAGATGAGAGAATTTTACCCTAAATATAAATATTCATTGTGCACCACATGGAACCATGGATCTCATTATATATAAAAGTAAATATTTCAAACTTAATCAAATAAATCTGAAATGATAAATTAATTAATAACTAAACAATAAATAAACCATTCAACATATCGTCGGAGAAAATTCAAAACAAAACTAGAAAAAAAACTGAATAAAATGGAACTTGAACTTGGGATCTCTTCAACTCTGTCTCACCCCTGAGGTAATTGTCATTGACAAAAGAAAACGGAGTATAAATTGTTGGCAATGATTCAAAGGCTGAGGAAATTAGGCCCAATGTTAGGTTAAAAGTGGGCCTCATAGGCCATATACCCAGGCCGAGGCGGGCTCAGACTTTTAGGGTGTCCCCGTTTATTCAAAGCTCAAGTTTAGGCCTACCAACTTTCTTTGTCAACCCATTTAATTATCACAAACCCATTGCAAGATATTCTTTCATCCGTAATCTTGATAGTATTTAATAATAATAAAAGAGATTATTCTCAACATTTATCCCTAATTAGAGAATTTGAGTAACTTATCTAGTCCCAAAATTTGTAACCTATAAAAGATGATAAACCCTCTTTTTCGGATTGATTGCTGAGGTGAAAGAGGTAAAAGTTTCACCATAATCTCATCAAAAACTATTACTGTACATTAGCATTTTTGAAAATATTTTAATTTATAAATTTCATTGAAAAATTCTGATAAACTTTTTACGTAAGTTAAAAAATTTCAAATTAAACACATTATTTTGCTTTAATTATTAAAAAAAAACCTCTTTTATAAACTACTTAGACATGCCAAAAGGTAAAATCCAAAAAACTCCCTCAAAATACTTCAAAATAAGACTTTAATTTCTTTTATTTCAAAATGATGTTTTTGATTTCTTAATTGTTAATGTAATTAGTCAACAGTTAAAAATAATGAAACCTAATATTATATAAATATTTTAAGATACAAATATCCTTTATGTTATTTTTTTAAGTTAAGCATATTTTCTTTTGAAAAAACACTGCTCATTCATCTTTTAAAAACTTTAATCAGAAAAAAACCCTAAAACATTTTTATTTAAAGGCTTGGAAATTTGAAGTGGTATCCACTTTAAAACCATAAACATTTTTTTGAGGTAAAATTTATTGCCATTAAATTTGTTATTTTTTCAACAATTTAAGTTTTTTTTCATTAAAAAATATATTAAAAAGTAAATTTTTTATGATGGATATTTCAAATTTGATGGTGTTAGATTAAGAAATTAATTTTTTACTTGTAATTACTAATTTTATTGAAATAATTTTGTTCAAAATTGTTTTTTGAAATTAGGATTTTGGTTGACAAAAATTTTTTTGGCTTACTATGTATATAAAAGGTTTTAAGTTTTTTTATTCTCTATCAAATATTGAATTTTATTAATGATCAAAATGAGATAAATTATCGTATTTACAAATCTCGTTTTAAAATTTTATGAAAATTTAATTTTTTTTGGTTAAATATTAAATTTTATTTATATCAAAGTAAATTTTATTAATTTTGGAAGAAAACATAGCGGTTTTTTAAATAAAGTATTTATATTTTAAAATATTTATATAATATTAATTATAATTTTTTATTAATAACTAATGTTGTTAATAGTTAAAAAATAAAAAATATTGTTTTAAAACAAGAAGATAAAAGTGCTCTTTTTGAAATGTTTTTAGAGATTTTTTTAATTGTACCCGCACGTCAAGCGTGTACAAGTTGCACACGGGAAGCGAGTATAGGTGACGTATATTGATTAGCCAAGGGGAATATGCGAACAGTCAAATGAAGAAGATTCGTGAGTCATGCGCATCTCCGCCTTCCCGATGCCGTTTCTTCTTCTTGTCTTAAAGCACTCCCCTTCTAACCGAAAATCAAACGAAACTCCTCTTCCTTCCGTCCTTCCCCCCTCGCCTCTTCTATAAATATTATTATATCCTCCCTTCACTTCTCTGCTCGCCACATCTTCCCAGGTTTATATTTGCTTATTTATATTTTACAGCTATCCATCTCTCTTTCTAAAAATTGCATCCAGTAAGTTTTTGCAAATGTTTCTGCTGGAGTCATTGTTTTATTCTCCAAAATGTTCTGTTAATTTCCGTTTTCTTGATGTGGAGTTGCTATTCTTGCTTGTATTTTCAGAACCCATTTTCGAGTTTGTCTCTTTTATGCTGGGATTAAGGAGAAGATTTTTTAATGATTTGTTTTGGTTTTTAGACTTGAGCTTCCTCTCATGGGACTGTTAATGTCGAATTTGTTGGACAAAAATTTTGCTTAGGTATCTGAGTGGCTTTACTTGAGGCCCTGTGGAGTGTGGTCAATATTGAACATCTTGGGTTAATAAATAAAGATATTTTCTTTGCCATGACCTTTTATATGAGCTCATTCTTATTTCAATAGGAGTAACCTGCTTCTGCTAATGAGTGTTTTTATAATCAGAATATGCTTGGGTGTATATTTTAGCCAAAGGGAGACATTATCATTTTTTTCTCGGTGTTTAAAATGAAATTGGAGTAGTTGTCTTGTTTGAGGTGAAATCATTGAGCTCGATAAAAGTTTGATACTAGCCCGTAAGGTGTCATTAGTTCTAGTTGGTCAATTCCAGGACAGCCTTAATCAGTATTCATAAGCTTCCCTTTAATTTTTTACGCATATAACCTAAAAGTTAGCTCTTGTGACCAGACACGGTTGTATTTTGATTTCTATAAGTGTATAGGTAGATAAAGCACAACCAGTGAGGTGTTCGTGTTTGGATCTATGCAATAATTGAGGCTAATCATGCTTCGATTGGTTAAAGAAATATATCTTAGGAGTAGATTTCCAAACCATGAAACTCAGTACAAAATATGCAAATCAGTATTTCATTTGTTGTGTTGCTTTGGTGTTTTAATTGCTATTCCGGGTGGAATTCTTAACGATGCTCTAATGGGTTCATAGATTGAAGTTGTTGATCGAATGTTTGCTTTTATTTCTGAATAAAGGCCATATGACAAAAAGGTGCTGCTTTTTTATAAGGGCTATTGTATCTGGAGCTGGGATACAATATCTATTTTAGAGGATATTTGTGTAATTAATCTTCCCTTGATGTTCGATGAACTATTTTCCATCCAACTAGATCTCCCAATAAAATTTTCTAAAATAGTGTTTGGTAGAAGCCTTATCCTATGCTTAATTTATTGCCAATATGATTTTACCACATATTGCTGCTTAATTCTAAAATTGCTGCTTTTTCATTGTACATAGATTAAGCATAGAAGTCGCTCCTTGTGCTCTTCTTCCAACGGTTGCCAGCAAGTGCTTGCTGGCAGGTAAACCGTTTGGCGCACACTTTTGAAGATTATGAGTTCCCAAAGGGCATTGAAACCTAGTAAAGCCTTAGAGGGTGTACACGGGGTGCAAGTAGTTCCTCATTCACCATTTGCATTGGAGGAGATTAACCAACATGGGGACTTCCTGCACACTCATGATAAATCATTTATTACAGCAAATCAACCACTACTGATTCAGTAAGTTAAAAAAAAAAGAACTTATCCATCAAAACTTCCTGTCAAAATATTGGTTGCTAGTGTTGATCTTTTTAAATCCTATCTATCAATTATTTGAAGCTAGTCTCGTGCATATACTATTGTTGCCTGTGACCCATCATAACATACTGCTTTTTTTCTTTTATTTGAAAGGCCCATAACATACTGCTTACACATGTTTTTCAGAGTATGGCAGCAGAGACCAGCTTGTTTGAGGCCTGTAAGATGTTGTATGCAAGGTATGGTAGTAAGTAATAACGGTTTTCATTTTCTTGTAGTCTCTCTCTTGTTTTGTGTTTCTTTATGTGTGTCTCAGCTCTCCATTCTGTTATATAACATTCTTTGTCTATGCTTATCTTTTAAAACTTTCTTAGGGGACCAGAATCTTCTAGAGACAGTTGCCAATGTGTTAACATCAATTCCTTTTATTGCTCTTGGGATCCAGACCCCAAGGTAATGTTCTCTTTAATTTGCTTAATAAACAAGATATCATTAACCATTTTTTATTAATTCTTTGTTTACTTGGATGTAGGAAAAATTTGAACACTAAGCTGTATGCTAATTCACTCATTGGAGTTGGAGTTGTATCCACTTTGTATCATTCTTCTAGAGGAAAGCTGAGGAAGTATTTAAGGTGGGCTGATTATACAATGATAGCCACAGCAACAGTGGTAAGTTCAAAATCATTTATAATTTTTTAAAAATAATACTCTGGCAATGTAAATATATCACCTCTACATCTCACATTTTAGTGATGTGGCATATCACACTTACATGTGAACCTCGACAAATCTCTCCCTTTCACTTGTGAGTTGTGATCAGCTTCCCGTGCAAGCTAACCGTGCTAGTTCTCTCAATTATCAATGCTTTTTTGGATTAGCACTCAACCTTCATGTGCCTCCCTACATCCAGGTTGTCCACAACGTACCACTTTGTGCATTCTTCCAAGCTGCTCATGCCCCTTAGGCCCAGCATTCAACCAAAGGCTGTCCTAGTGCACCGCTTTCTCGCGTTTTTCATAAATATGTCCTCACTATGTTTTCCTCACCCTAGTCGAGCCTTTGGCTCTGATACAAATTTGTTGGAACAACCAACCCAAACAAGTCTATTTTACATCAACTAAATTCATCAAAAAATTACCCAAACATACACAAGAATAATATGCAAAAATAACAACCAATGGAAACATCGGGATTTACTTGATTCAGCTCAAGCCTACATCCATGGGCAGAGACGTAAAAAATTTCTCATCATCTCTGCCCATGAATGAAGGCTTTGTGCCAAATCACTTATATCCCAGTGTTTTGTTGATTGTTACTTTTGCATATTATTTCTTGTGCATGTTTGATTATTTTTCTGATGAATTTATTTGCTGTCATATTAATTTGCTTGGGTCAGTTTGTTCCTACGATTATCATAAGCATAAATTTTGGAAATATGGTGAACTTTTTTAATCGTCACACAGGTTGTGTTGGTATCTAATAACCTGAATAAGATGCTTCGGTTTAGATACTTGTTTATGTTACTGACTTTATTGATGCTATACACATATATAATTAAGCACAGTTCATATGCTCTCTCTGTAGACTTGATTGAGAACACAATGCTACCTGCTGAAACTTTTCTTCTACGGTTCTACTTTTTTAAATTGCTCACTTAGGTTCTACTTTTTTAAATTGCTCACTTAGGTTCAAACTTTTGTAACTGAAAATCCTTTTTGCAGTGTCTATCAAGAGCCCTTAGAAACGAGAACCCAAAGTTACTGATGGCAGCATCTGCTTTACTTCTACCTGTCCAGCCTCTGATGGTTTCAGCTGTTCACACTGGAATGATGGAGGTAACTAGCTGGTTATTTCCTTGGACTTTATTAAATGAACAGAAGCCTAGGATTGCTATCATTTTTTCTATTGTAAACATATTGCTATTCATTAGATGGGTCAAAAGAGCTATCAACTTTCTAATGTTTATTGCTAACTTCTCCATATTTATTCTCCTTTATGTATAAAATACATTTTTGAAAGGGCAATATGAGTTATTCCTTGATGCATTGGAGTTAAAAATGCAACTGGTTGGTTGTTATCAAATAAGCTATATGGCATCACATAATTTACTTCTATGATGGAATTAAATTAAGCTTTGAAGTTAATTGTCAAAATTTGAATTAAGCATTTTGGGTTTTCAGTGGAAGCGTGCCCAGTGTTAAAACTACATTCATGTGGATAGCAATTCCAGGCACTATATGTGCGTTCTTCTTGTTGTCTGAATCTTTGATTCCCCAGTCATGGTGCCAGCTTGACAATATAATTGATTAAATTACATTCTAGGCTCAAACTGTTTGTATACTGAAACTTTTTCCTTGCCTTTCATCCATTCCAGGTAGCATTTGCAAAAAGAGCATTAAAAGATCCAGAACTAAGAATGGCTCACAATGTGCATAAGATGTCATCACTGCTGGGAGGTGTTCTTTTCATTGCAGATGACGTGTTTCCTAGTACTCCTTTCCTTCATGCTGCATGGCATCTTGCCGCAGCTGTTGGTGTTGGCACGTGTAACAAGCTTCTTGAGTAGTGCATATATCTCAGGTCAATCCCTATATCTATGATTCATTCCTTACTATTCATTTATCCTGAGAGCTGGGAGAACAAAATTGCTTTGTTCGATCAGGAGAACAAAATTGCTTTGTTCGATCAGGCATAAAATAAGGTAGAATGTAGAATTTTTGTCTTCGATCAGCATAACATGCTGCATTATTGAACTGGGACCCAAACTGGGTCCTTTTATTTTTCTTTTTCTATTACTATTAATTATTTCCCTAAATCAGATGTAGTATGATGTATATTCATTATGTCAACCAATGTAGTAGATATGTAAAACCAGGGATGTGATTGACTCTTGCCAAAAATATTTATCCATTTGGATGTTCATGGACAATTATGAGAGGTATCTCCATTTCTGGTTTTTTCTGCTTTCTTTTTTTTTTTTCATTAAAATGAAATTTTGACATCTGGGATGCGTGAGATAATAAAAGTTGGTAAATTTGCAAAAGAAATATTTTTATTCTTTTTTATCATAATATTCGAATCTCTTTTTCTATTCTTTTATACTCGTTTACTTATTAATTACTATATTTCTCATATGAATTACAATGTCACGTAGGGATAAAAAGTTTCACATATATGGGTAACTCTTTTTAAGACAATATACTCAAAAAGATACTTTATTCATATGCTTCCAATGTAGTAATATTAGACATGGAGAAGATAATTCCAGCAAAACAAATACTAATAATCTAGTAAATATATTATGTTTGAGTAAGCAACAATGATCTTAAAAGGTTTACTAAATGATATGAACCGAAAGGGAAAAAACATTTAGAAAATAATAGCAAAAAAGATGTGTTAACAAATTTAAAAAAAAAGGGTAATCAAATGTGTAGAAGGATGTAATACAAAAAGAAGATAAAGCTAAGTAAAGGATTATAAACAGGAATTTAAAACCCCATCATCAGTACCTTTCAACATTTTTTTAACAAACAATGAAGCTATACTTTGTTTGGATAGAGGGAAAGACAAAGAGAAAGAGAAAGAATGGTAAATTTTGTTGTGTACATTGAAAATATTAAACAATCAAAACTAAAATGTTTTATCATATCATAGATAAATACTAAATTCTTTTTTTTAAGGTATAAATATCTAAATTCTTGACTAACAAAACCACTAAATATCATAATTTTTTTTTATCTGCGAACACATTATTGAATATCTGGAATCTACCTTGAAGTTGTTGGAGCAATAAGTGTTGAAGAAAAATGTGTTTGATGAAGAAAGTTCATACTTTTAAGTAAATTCATATCTTTAATCATATATGTACACATGAATTTTGCATCGAATATTTTAAAATTTAGATAGGTGAATTTACAATCTCTAAGATTTTTTTACAATAAAAAATGTCCTTTTATTAATTTCTTTAATTTTCGTTTCAACAAACAAACAATTTGAAACCTTTCTGCAAAGGCCTTGACTTAATGAACCATTTGGAGATTTCGTTTCAAGAATCTTATGATTTGAACTTGAGCGAACAATTTGGAAACCTTTTTTTAAAGGCCTTGACTTTATCTTAAACAGAACAATTTGGATATTCCGTTGCAAGGATTTTATGACTTGAACTTGAACGAACAATTTGGAGACTTCGTTTCAAGGGTCTTATAACTTGATCTTGAGCGAACGATTTGAAGACCTCACTTCAAGGATTTTGTGACTTGTTCTTGAACTTCTAACTTTACTTCAAGAGTCTTGCAACTTATTCTTGAATGAACAATGTGGAGACTTGTCTTTAAGGGTCTTGACTTGATCGGGAATGAACAATTTGGAAACTTTGTTTCAAAAGTCTTGCAACTTGTTCTGGAACTTATGATTTGCATATTGAAATGATTTGGAGACTTCGCTCCAACGGTCTTGTGACTTGTTCTTTAACGAATGATTTGGATACTTTGCTTTAAGGGTCTTGCGATTTGTTGTTAAATGAACGATTTGGTCTTATGACTTAATCTTGAATGAACGATTTGAAGTCTTATGACTTGATCTTGAACGAACATTTGAAGATTTCGCTTCAAGAGTCTTGATTTGATCTTGAACGAATGATTTGGAGACTTCACTTTGAGGGTCTTGCGACTTGTTCTTGAACTTCAAACTTTGCTTCAAAGGTCTTGTGACTTGTTCTTAAACAAATGAATTGGAGACTTCACTTTAAAGCTCTTATGACATGATCTTGAATGAACAAACAATTTAAAAACTTTTCTGCAAAGGTCTTGACTTGATCTTGAATGAACGGTTTGGAGATTTCACTTCAAGGGTTTTGCGACTTGTTCTTGAACTCCGAACTTTGCTTCAAGGGTCTTGCAATTTGTTCTTGAATCCACTCTAGAGAGGCTTTAATCTTCCTTCTAGAAAGGTTTTGCGATTTGTTCTTGAATCCGCTCTGAAAAAGCTTTAATCTTCCTTCCAAAGGCTTTGATTTTTTCTTCTGTTTGGAGGCTTTAATCTTCAAAATCTTCATCTGGAGGCCTGAATCTTCTTCTGGAGCCCTTTGATTTTTTCTTCTGTCTGGAAGCTTTAATCTTCAGAATCTTCATCTGGAGGCAGAATCTTCTTCTGGAGCCCTTGGACTTGCTTCTTCTGGAGCCCTTGGACTTGTGAGAGTTCTAAAGAGGCTTTAATCTTCAAAATCTTTTTCTTTCTCCCAAATTGTCTTCTTTCTCCTTCATTCCTTTCTCCATGATTCATCAAATGGCTTGAAGGAGCACTGTATTTATAGTGCTAGATGAGATACTTTTATGATGATTTAGTCTTTTTGAATTATCTCTAAATTATTTTAATTTAATTAGAGACAAATCATGATAACTCACAAATGACTTTTAAATTGGCCAAACTTTGAGTCTTTGAGTTTTAATTGGCCAAACTTGAGTATTATTTTAAATTATCTTAATTTATTTAGAGATAAATTGGATGACCAAGTTTGGATTTTTCTTAAATTATCTTAGTTTATTTAGACATAGATTGATTGACCAATAAGTAAATGTTATTTTGTCAAATTTACATATTATCTCTAAATTATCTTGATTATTTAGAGATAACTTGGATGACCAATAGGTGAATTTTTAATGATTCAATTAATTTATTATCTCTATATTATCTCAAAAGATAAATACATGACATAAAGAACAATTTTAATTGGTTCAATTATGTGTCTTTAAGAAAATAGTCAATAAATTAATTACAATATAATTGATTATATGACTATCTTAAATGATGTCTTCAAGTTCACATGGCAGCACATGCATTGTCTTTAAAAATTTTCTTCAATTTACTAATCTTGGACATGTGGCATTTGTAATTGGATAATAATTTTTCTCTTTCTACAAATGCCCCTTAAAACTTGTTCGCACATGATTTGAATGTAAGAAGTGGACAAGTCTTGAAATTTAATTTGCTTTGATGCCAACATTTGCTTACATTCTTCATCTTCCTTTGTGCAAGATTAGATTAAAGAAAATTTTCAAAACTGTTTCGATTCTGACTAACTTCTGTCTTTATTCAATTCACCAACTTATCTTGCTCATTTGATTCCCATATTTTTATGCATGATGTATAACCATGTTGGCTAGACATAGTAAAAATTTGAGACTAATTAAACTTGATTTGATTAGCAAAACTAGAGTCGAAACTGAAGAGGTGAGATGATTAAAATCATTTTTGGCATTCTGGCAACTTCTATTTTGATTTAATTCAAACAATTTATCCTCTTCAAATATGATAGCTTCATCATTGTAACGAATTGGATCGTCTTCAATCCAAGAGACTTTTTTCTTTTACGTGACTGAACTTGATAATAAAACCAAGTTACTTATGTACCTCTTAGTATGAAGGATCAAGTTATATCGTTGTTCAATTTTTTTTGGGCAATTTAGGTTCTTGTTGAGGAGCAAATGATCTTCAAGCATAATAACACTTCAAGAATGTTTCCTTTACGTTGTCTTTTGCATCAGCTTCTTGATGAGTAGCTAAGATCCATCGTTCATCGTCTTGACCATCATTTGTGTGATCATAAGTGTTGTCCCCATTTTCTTAAAAATTGGTTACTTCTTTTGGATTTGGGATTGATGTCATGGAGTGAAAAGATTCAAATTTTATAATTGTACTCAACACATTAAGTTAAGAAACCATTACCGATGTCAAATTTGATGACAGTTTCTTTCTCAATTTCAATTTTTCCATCATTGTTAAGCTTTATGATTTTTTCTTTCAAAACAGAACCTTTTGTGGCATTTGATAGGAATCCTAATTCGATGAGTCCACTTTGTTGATTTGGTATTGATGTTAGTTATTTTTGGTTTGATGGCATCCATGATGTCACTACAATGTACAGACTTTCAGTTTGTTTTGTACGGGCTTGGACCTACTATGCTAGTCAAGATATGGCTTTTGTAAATAGTACGTGAATATACTCTTGATGAATTAAATGCTACGGGGCAGTTTGTCAAAGAGGAAATTATGATGAATAACTTTTTTTGATAACGATATTTTAAAAATGATTATCAAAATAAATTTAATTATTTTTAATTATAGTTAGTCATAACTTGACAAAATATTTTTAAAATTATTTTAAATAAATTAAATCATTCATTATAATTTCTCTCCACTTGTACTTTCAATATCTCTCTCACCATCCCACTCTCTTTAATTTTACCGATTTCTCTTTTCGAAATTCATTTGCTATGCTTTCCATTTCTCTTACTTGCGCTTTCAAATTTCTTTTTCCTGCACTTTCAAGACACCAAACGATGGTTTTAATGTATTTATGTGGATGGTTATTTGAAGAATTTGATTTTTAAGCATTTTGGATAAAACTAAAATAGTAGAAGTGATTACAGATATTTGAAATAACTTTTACTTGGATTAATTCAAGAACTAAACATCAATAAACTCAAGAATATGAAATTTATAAACCTAAGTTTTTAAAGAAATTTTTTTTCAATTTTTAGTCAAAATAAGTATTTTAGATAAGAAAATTTATATTTTGATTTATAAAAAGATGTCGGAAACACTGTAATCAGTATCAAATTGTTATAAAAACAAAAAAAATAAAAAAAATTGAAAAGATTTGAAGTTTTGGTTTGTAAGTAACAATAACATTTTAGGCATTAAAGTGTAATAAAATGTTTTAACATTTAACAACAATATTTTTTTAACATAATGTGTAATAATCTTTTTTTAAACATGACGTATAACATATTTTTATATTTGACATGTAACAACAGTATTTTTTTTAATATAACATGTAATAACCTAACCATAACGTGTAACATATTTTTATACATAGCATGAAACATGTTTTTATATATGACATGTAACATCATTGTGTAATTTTATTTACGATAATTTTATTCAACTTGACCAAATAATAATTTAAATTATAAAAAAAGTTATTTTTGAAAATATTTAACCTTTAAGGGTTTTTTTAAAAAATATTCTTTTGTTAAAACATATTTGAACCTATGCTATGAAATGAATTAATTAAGTTGTAAATTCCTACAAATGATTATATTTGTTTATTGGTTTGCCCAATCAATCGAGACTTGTTCGGGAGAAGTGGACTTCGCCAACGGAGCTCGAGTGTCGGTCACGGTCCCAGGTTTGAGTCGTGACAGATAGCAAACAAGATAAAGCGTTGTAAGACCAACTGTTTCCCAGGCCTGGAATTTGACAACCCTGAACGTCATGAGTGCAACATCTTCTTCAGATAATTTCAAGCAAGACGAAAGAGGAAGTTGCACAAGACTGCCAAGATATGAACCGAGGCTGATTTAAAACCCTCCTAACAGATGCATTGGTCGATCATCTGCATCCTATCCGGGTTCGGTATGAGGACATTATTTCTGATCCAGCTTATTTGGATGGAGAGTCTTGGCAGAAGGGGCTGAGAAAGCTGCAGCTATAGCTGATGCTACTCTCAATAATGTCTACCAGGCAATGGGATTCTTACGTAGGTGAGTAAAATGATTTGTATGCAAACCATAACATGACCTTTAGATTATTCATCGTCGCCCCCACAGTTTTTTGGAGCATATACCCATTAAAATGTTCTGAATAAGTGAAAAGTTATTTATTTGAAGGTCCACAAATTCTTTGATGGAGTTTGCCTCTACCTCTCCTTTCCAGACAGGTGCCATTTATATTCCTTAATCTTCATTAAAGTTGGTGATTTATTGCCTTTTTCCCTAGACAAATTTTGCTGTATAAAATACACTGATTCCCAAATAGAAACTTGATTCACTTTCAAAAAATGAAAAACATTGAATCAACCGTCCAAGTGCTAGCAAAAGCATTAAACTTGCAACAAACAATTTTTCGTTTAGCTTCTCAATGCAGTTTTAAATTTTACTAATAAGGTACTCTAAAAAATTTAAATTTGGCTAATATCAAATTTTTAGTTATAAAAAATATTTATTTTTATCAATAAATATCAATACATATATAGTTATTCCAAAAAAAAAAGAAATAGGAGTGCATCGGTAAATTTGGACCAATCGAAAGATGAATATCGAAAATTAATATGAACCAAAAGTGAATTTTTAAATAGGCATTTATCTCAGATTTTTCACTTTGAAACCCAGAAAGGAAGTGAAAATGTACAAACGTCCTTGGCCAAAAGAAAAAAGGGAGAAGTTGGAGATACGTATGGGCGTGCAATGGTTGTGCAATAGGAACCTTAATCAGGACTGATGGGCTAAGCTTTTAATTGACTATATGCAATTATATCTTTCCATGGTGAAGTCGTTTTCTCTGCCAAGCTTTCTCATCCCACGCCTCCTCATCTCTTCATAATTTCAAGCCTCCCTTTGCTTTCTACTTGAGGTTTATGTGACTTCAATTTGATAAATTGTTTTTCCTTTTCAATTTGATTAACGGCGGTTTTAGTTATCATAATCTTTATTTCAAGATCAATATCAAGTTTACACTTACGCAAATTGGCATCTCAAGCCCACCACTGACATTCATGTTGTTTTAATTAATTATCCAATGTTAAAAGAAAATTCCATTCATACTACGTGTACAAATATTATACCCTTTTATTCTACAGATTATATATAGAATTGGCCAATGTTGGATGGTTTATATATTAATATGGTTGCTACTTAATCGTCGTTGTAACTTAAACCGCTACATACATATTGATCTATTTTATTGATGTTTAATTTCAATTCATATGTGTCTGGTTTGAGTTTCTAACGTTAATTGTAATTACCTCTTTCTTTTAGGAAGTAATTATCCTCTTCCTGTTCTTGTTCCTTCATGTATAGCTAGTACTTTAAAGAGAAAAAGACTGACTACAAATAGGAAGTAATTTCCTGTTCTTGTTCCTCTTTCTAATGTTATAGCATATTGTTATTCTCAACACGGACACAGTCAACATGCCGTTTGTCTTCCTCAGTTTCCTCTCACTCTGCTTTATCTTTTCACTTTGTTGCTGCTGTCCCTTTTGAAAGTAGAAACCATATCTACTTTTTATTCGCTTTTTTCTTCTTTCCACGTTCTTCTCTGATGCGACTATGTGCGCGCGCTGGGGAAGACAAAGAGATGATATTTGGGAAGTAGCCTTTCTATTTAAACCCAATGCTTGCTTTTTCTCTCCCACCCTTTAGCAACTTTGAGTTCTAAACTCCTCTCTTTAATCTTATCATATATATATATATCATCCTATATTCTTTGCAAATAGCCTGCTTTATTGCTTCTTCAACATGGGATATCCCCATATTACTGACCTCAACTTGTCTCATCATTCATTCAACAATGCAAAGCCTTCACCCTTGATTCCAAAGCCTAACCCTGCCTGCCCCAGAAACACTACTATTATCTCTTCTGCACCCTCTCCTTGCCATGGTGATTTGGCTACTTTTTGCTTCTGTTTTTTTTCACTTTACTTTTCACTCATCTTTCTTCATTTGGTTTAATAACTGATCTCATTTCAACACTGATATTTTTCTTGTTGTCGGTAGCAGCTAATATTGCAAATGAGCGAAGAAAGGCAGAACTGAATGAGCATCCCTTTGGGAGTTCGCGTTGGAATCCAACGCCAGAGCAGTTACTGGCCCTGGAGGAACTCTATCGACGTGGGACACGAACGCCTTCAGCTGCACAAATCCAACAAATCGCTACGCGGCTTCGGAGGTTTGGTAAGATTGAAGGGAAGAATGTCTTTTACTGGTTCCAAAACCATAAGGCAAGAGAACGTCAAAAACGCCGCCGCGAACTGGAGACTGAACAAGAACTAAAACAATGTGACACTGAGAGGTTTGAAAAGAAGGAACCAGGTAAGCTATATAGAATTTGAGTGTCAACCTTCAACACCATTTTCCGTAAATCCTTCATATTTTGAACATAGTTACAACTTCTGCCAAGCCTTGTTTTAAAAGAGAGTGATGAGAGAGAGAAAGAGAGAGAGCGAAGCCTCATTTTCTTTTCCTTTTTTCTTTTCTTTTATTGTTTTAGATGCAAGAAAAACAAAAAAGAAAGTTGTTTGATTTGCTTTGCCTTCATTGCCAACAGGGTCTGCAACCACGGGCTGTGAAATTGAACAGACAAAGAACAAGGGTCCTCCTTCAAACTTCAGTAAACGTTCAGAGGTCTGTATATCAGCGTTTTTTCTTTGTTCATGGGATAATACTCTTTAACGGGGATTAGCTAAGCAGAGCCAAAGACTCAGAAGAAAATTAGAAGGCTTATATAATAATAGGAGCTAATTATTATTAGATGGAAAAGGTCAAAGGTTCCAAAGAAAGCCAAGAAAAAAAGGAGCAAGAAAAACAATTGAGCAAGCTACGAAAAAGCTGTTGTTAATATGTTGGGAAAAGAAGAGGTGCAAAAGCTGCATTGCCTTACTTTCTGTTGGGGCTGTTGTAATGAAAGGGCTCAGAATTTTTTCGGACTTGGTGTGAGCTAGTGTACTCAGCTTTAATTCATTTCTATTTTACCTCAAACTAATTATAACTCCTGTCTATTTTCGTAGGAAATCATTTTAACGCATGGAGTAGCAGCAGCAGAGAGTGGACCAAACAAGTGGATGCAAATTCAGGAGAAGGAATTACAACAGATAAAGAGTACAGCTGGGAGAGTTTCAACGTGGCAAGCAATGGAATTGTCCTGTTCACCAATTTACCTCATAAACAGCATGACCGCAACTTCATTGGCCACTGCGAGAGCTTCCAACACTCAAAATTTATGCTCACTCAAACCCCACCAAGAAGATATTGCCACTCTTGAAGATGAAAACAGAGAAGATCAGACCCTTGAGCTGTTTCCCCTTGGAAGTAACAATGGCAACGGCATTAATATCAGCAAGAAAGACACCACCCAAGTGCCCATCACAGCCTTAAATACAACCTTCACCCCAAACCAGTATTTTGAGTTTCTTCCTCTGAAGAACTGAAGAAGAAGGTAGCTTTAGCATGTGGCTACAAATTAATGCTGCAATTAGATACTAGTTTGCTATTTAAGTAAAGATGGTTAAGCTGTATTAGTTTGTTTTTTTGTAGGAAACTAGGACTGTTTCATCTGTGTCTGTCATGCATGGAGCAACTGTAAGATAAGGACATGTAGTTATTTTGGGGTTGCCTTAAAACGCATTTGGACCATGTTGGCTAAACCAAGGTAGAGCTCCTTCATTTTCTTTAAACGATGCAATTGCAGAATTTTCTTTGTTTTGTCCATTTCCTACAACTCATTGAACGGTACAAAAGGAAAGAGAGATGGCAACATAGAACAGGAGAAGGACATGAAAGAGTTTGATGTTGAAGTGACCTAAAATTTGGACTGGACATATCTGGGGTTTTCAGGTATATGTCAGTAAAATTTTGTTTTTCTCATGTATGTTCAATTCCATATATTCCTAGGGAATTAAATTTGTACTACTGGATAACGGTACAGTAGTGCAATATGAGTATCTCCTTTCCTCTGGAGACAAAATACATTGGAACTAATTAATAAAATGAAGAAGATCAAAAGCACATCAAAGGTTCCAAGTGCTAATATATACATTGTGCCAAAACATCCAGCCAATCCTGCTTGGATTCAACGAAATCGTAAATGAGAAACCAAGCACTCCATTTATCGAAAATGCAATGCATGGTACAAACAGAAAAATGCATGTATTTAGTCATTTCAGGATTAAAAAGAATAAATAAAAAGAAACATCTTTCAATGACGTTTTGCACTTTGGTTAATAATTAATATGGTCTAAACGTCGAGGAATTCACATGATTTCAGGGAAATCTGGGGCATTTAGACCTATGCCTGTAAAGCATGATTGGATTTCTAGCTGCCAAACTCAAACGAATACTCTCCCATGAGTGTTTCGTGAATCTCTGTCAAACAACAAGAACCCAATAAACAAAGGGTACAGAAATGTCCTAGCTAGGGAACTTGGGGTTGGGAGGAGACTTGCATTCATGTATCAAATTCAAAGGAAAAAACTTAGCACGTTAATTAAATTCAAAGGAAGTTCTCTCGTCAGCGTTCCAACATTAAGCTCTCGAATATTCCCACCAGCTGTTAACTTTAATCAGAAGAAAAGGACATCGCTTGACTGTCAATGGTTGCTCAACAACATTGACAATTTTCACTGAATTCTCATGTGTGCAATGTTATATCTATTGGATGTTACTAGACGGTAATTATGTTCTCCTCTCAACTATATATTTCCTGGCAATGTTACCTTAATGCATACACATATAAATTAGAACAATGCTTATTAACTATACGCTTTCCACAAATATTTAGTCTTTCATACATATGGCAGTGCGGTGGAGTTGTAGAGGATTTAATTACCCTATGGTCTAAGTTTCTTGCATTATCTAACTTGGAAGTGGTTGTACATGTGCAACATCTGTAATTATAGCTCATTACTGTTCTTTTACCGATAAAAGGTCAAAAACAGCTAAAAGCCTTAAACCCCTTTCACCCGACCTGTTTGAAGCTTGTCCTTTCACCTCTTCAAACAAGACAGACATTCACCCTAAAAAAAGCATTTATAATAAGCGCATGAAAAATGTAAAACATTTGCCTGTGATAATAAATATAATGCATAAAAACCAAAGCCATGCAATATTACCAGAACTTTCACAATGGGGAGAAGAGAGAGAGATGAGGAAGATGCCTCTAAGTTGTCACTGAAACTTTTGCAGGGCTTTCATCACTGAATGTCTGGTGCATAATGAAAAAGCAGGCAGCAGAGAGAGAAAGGGGGAGAAACAGTGTTAGAATTAAAAGTGATGAAGAAATGAACAAAATACAAAGAAAGCGCGTATTGCCGAGAAAACCGACCGTGATCTAGTGAAAATCCAACTCCTAGTCTGGAAGCAGCCAGCATTAATTGCCTTTGGCCAAAAATAGGGAGGCTGGGGATTGTCCTTGCTTTGCTTTTACCCTGTATCCTGCTCTGCCTCAATAAAGACAAATGTGATCTCACAGCTGAAACCACAAATAACGTAGTAACAATTGGTTCCTTCAAATCTCTTTTGCTGTACGACATGCGACACTGTAGCCCCATCCTTCAAATAAAGAAACACACCTCCCTCCAATGTTTTAAAAATTCAAGCCAATAGCTCAGAACATAGCCTGTGTTCTTTGTTATCTTAAAGTCCATACACTCTTCACAATTATTAGTCCTGTTGCGTATAACATTCAAAAGAAATTATGCCATGTTCACGTGCAGCTATATTGCTTTTCCATCACACTGAAATCAAGTTTCTGTCACATTGCACCGGCACACCACGCTTTCAATTTCACTCCCCACCCTTTTGCATTCTTCATGGCTCCTTTCCTCCCCTTTCACCTTCCCACAAATCTTAGTTGCCGGGCATCTCCTCCACATCCACGCGTCTTATGGTAGGAAGAAGTCCTAGTAAATTTTCTATGCAGAAGATCACACATCCCCTAAGTGAATTCTATCTTTTGATACATGTGAAATGCCATTGATGTTTTATTTTAACTTGGTAACACGATAAGATCGTTTGCTGGAAATGATTTGTAAATGGCCAATCAACTCTCCACAGCAAGAAAAAGCATTTCATCTAATAAAGAATACATAAGGCCTATTTCATCATGCAAAACCAAACACCAAGAAGCATTCAAACTAGGCTTCTGGCTATTTAATTTTTGTGAAGTGTATTATTACTTTGTCGAGATGTCAATAAACATCGAAATGTAGCTTGAGGAACAGTAAAAGGGCCCGGCCATTTTGGTTTTTCAGTAACAAGTCTGCAGCGAGCACGATCTTATAATACACATACTGCAACTGAGTATAAACAATTTTGCTTGGAGACATGCATTAACGCCCCACGCAACAACCAGAGATAATCAAGATGTGTAGAGGGGCTCTGGCTCCACTTTTCTTTTGATCCTGCAAAGGAGGAAATATCAAATTAAAAAATAATCTCTATATAGACCAAAACCAGATAGAGGGCTGGAAGCACAGGAATTAAGTCAATCATAAGAAACAATCTACCCCTTGATATCTACAGCAGATTTCTACTGCTACAGTGACAGATCAACTCATGCCTAATCTCTATTCAATAACTGAAGAATACCGAATAGATCTTCACTTAACTATGTTAAAGAATAAATTAAGGGCATTTCCATCATTATGAATCAATGGCATCACAATTATTACCAATATAACAAAAATAGTGCAAAATTTCAATGATTACTCAAAATTACAGGTTTGTTAACCATTAGACCAAAATATGAATGAATCCTTTCTCCATCTCCCCCATCTATGTCGGATGGTAACAAGTGTATTTTTATAGACATTTTTGGGAAGGAAAATCAGAGATTCTCCACTAACAGGAGGTGACTAATTCAATTTCCATTTGTAAATGGGAATATTATTTCCCTGTGAGGTTATAAACTCTATATAAATACCAAGCAAAAGGTCTTTATAGGTTCCCATACCATGTCAATATGACAAGTGAAATATTGTTGCTGATGGTAGCAGAAGAATTCAGGCAACAATGAGACCTTAGAATTGCCTGTTGACTACACACCATACATATAAAATGGGATTCATAAAAAAAAAAAAAAGTCCATCAACAAGTTCAAGATAATATAGTACTAATATGTTTTCCTATGAAGAATAAAAGAAGGAAATTGTGGAGCACAAAAAGATGAACCATCTCATTATTAAGGAGAAGATACACGTAAATGCTCTGTACTTACCAATTATCTTCTGCCCACTTGCAGCCATCAGTATCTACCACATGCAAGCTGTATGCATGCCTTGATTTTGGAGATTGATTTTCAAAACTACAGTACGAGCATAAGAAATGAAACAAATAAATAGTTGGTTATCAGACCATTGAACTAAATGAGCTCTCAATAAAATTCTTTAAACTAACCTTTGATGAATAAGATCACCATGAATTACAACCAAAGACCCAGCTTTCACTTCAATAGGCACAAAATCCTTCTGGTCATAGGAAGGGGAAGGCTGATCAAAGTACACTCCATCTTCACCCCTAATGAACCTTCTAACAAGGCCATCTGGATAAAAACAGAGCAACATCAAATTTAGCCATCATCTATCTATTTTAAAAGTTCACAGATGGGGAAAAAGTACAAAAGCTACTTTTTGGAGATTCAGGAATGGCCCAAAGGCAGCCGTTTACAATAGTTGCATCTTCTAGAGCAAGCCACAGACCGCGTGCAACTTTTAGGTTCAGTATAAAGAAAAGAGTTATCCTGGTGTGGAGTTACTTCACCTCCTATACCTGGTTGCTGTCAAAATGAATCACATTTTAGCAAAACAAAGAGAAGCTAAATATTCAACAAAATCCAAGTCAGCTTCTTTCTAATTTCCTCTTTCCCTCTTCTGTTGGTCGAAGGCAATGTAAGGAATAATACATCTCCCATACCACACAAATTATCAAAAAGATAAAAAGAAAGAGAGCAAGTCCTTCTAAATGCAGGATATAAGATTTGAACTCCACTACAAATTACATTGGGTTCAAATCTTCATTTGTGAACAGGATTAATAATGTGTGTGTTTCTGTTTTGGAGGAGAAACAAAGTGTTTGCTCCCTTTTTAGAGAAAAAATAGATGTATCGAAACAATTTGCCATCACATCATATGAAGTAGGGTATAATTCAGACCAACTGTTAATAATTCAGACTAACTATATAATCCCAGAACCTCATTACTCTAAATTTCAGATAAATCAATCATTCATATGAAATAGAAAATTTTCATACCATCCTAAATGTTACCAAAAGTGCAGCAATAGCAAGGTCTAGTAGGGTACACACTCGGGGTAGCAGGAGAAAAGAAAAAACTGAATACTCAAGCATGAACATAGCATGCAACTAGAAACAAATCAAGAGACACCAGAGAAAAAATCAACAAACTCCAGGGTTATAAAAAGGTGCAATTCAATCAGCATTCAGCTCAATCTTAACGCTTGCATGTACAATCTTCCACACCTTGAAAGCGCCGGTTAGTTGTATGGTGAGATATGAGCTAATATTACAAGCCAATGAAATTTCCTTTACAAGGAAACTTAATCCAATCTCCCGGCTTCAAAAACAAGATATAACCCAAACACCAAGCAATAACATTGCAAATCTTACCCGATCACTCTCACAACACCACAACCAACCCCCTGCTCTCTCCCCACCCCCCCCCCCCCCCCCCCCCCCCCCCCCCCCCCCCCCCCCCCCCCCCCCCCCCCCCCCCCCCCCACCCCAACAGCCCAAGAAAAAAAAAAAGAAAAATCAACCTTAGCGCGTATTACAAAATGCACCATTTCCTTCTATTGTAACATGTCCAAGTTATTGAAATCAGAATCTCTCAAAAACTTGGACTGGAAATTCTCAGAATTTGTAGCAAAGGATGCTGTACTAGAGAAACAAAGTGTAAAATATACGGGGCAAAAAAAAAAAGTTAAATACCTTAAAAATATACATTGACTGAATGATCACCGGCCTCTTGTAACCTAAGGAGAATACCAAACTAGAAACTTTTTGTGAGCAAGAGAATTCTTTGAACACTGGGTCAATCTCATGCAATGCTGCACCAACAAATTCATTGAAAGTTGTAAACTTAGAAATTTTTATCATAGTATTCACAAACCCATTTCTAACATATTTACAAGAGCATGTTGAAATAATAAGAGCATACTAAGCCATGCAATGCCTTTGAAATTGCATACCATGCCCAACTTTATTAATAGAAAGTTCCTTGGATTGCTTTAACTTTCCATCATCATCAAATGCTTTTTCTGCCAAAAGAAAAAACAGAAAGAAGGTACCTACATTAGCAAACAAAACTAACACCATCCTCTAAAAGGAACCTAAGTGATCAAAAGCAAACAGCAAAGTTAAATACAAAAAGCAAATAGTTGACTCTCATGCATGATCCGCACTAATAAACATTTTTAGCAAAATGTTAGTTTTTTTATACATTAGTCAACATATAAAAGCAAGAAAAAAAAATCAAGCTTTAAAATGTAAAAGGGTGGGTAAACTTAACGTATTCAACAACTTTAGTAAACAGTTCATTAACATTCAAGCCTTTCAATTTCAATCGTAACAAGAAGTTCATATACCCAAAATGCCTAATTCTCGATATTTTCTCAAAGAAAATTAAAGGAAAAGAAACAAGTAATCGAAGAAACAATGAAAAAGTGAAGAAAAGTAGAAAGCACAAACAATTATACATATACCTTCAAAGAAAAAGGAAATCTTTTCAGCACTTTCGTAGAAGTATTCACTGGTCAACTGTAGCTGCAAAATAACCAAAATTGAGAAATCATCAAAATCTAAGCTTTACAATCAAAGAAAGTCAAATTATTTACAATTATCCAAGGAACGAAAAAAGAACCTGATTTTTGGTGGAGAAAATAGAAGCGGTGGTGGAGGGGTCGAAGTCTTGAAGCAATTCGTCCATTCTCTTTCTCATAGCTTCAATTTCTTCAGGGCTCGCAAATGATTCCATCACAAGAAAACCTGCAAAATAAATAAAAAAAAAAGACAATTTTGAATTTGATCTGCTTGAAGAACAGAGTAAAAAAGAACCGGCTCTATTGCTTTGTAGACGAAAATTGTTATGGTTAAATCGGCGATGGCGGTTTACCTTGAGAGTTGAAAGAGTGGAGCTGCTCTGGAGAGAGATTTCCGACGATTCCCATGGCGGTTGCGTTAAGCTGTGCCACTGAGACAGGAAGGATTATAAATGCCTTTGTTTTTTTTTTTAATTGACTGTTTATATCTAATAAATAAATAAATAAATAAAATTTAAGAGTCAGTCCTGGAAATCAATCTTGGTCACTGTTGAAAAATGTTTTATTTTCTTCTTATATACTTGCTCAACTTAAGTGTCAAATAAAGGAGGCGGTTGATAAATTATTTAAATATATATCAAAATTTCAATTTTTAACTATAATATTTTAAAAAAATAAATTATTTAAAAAAATTTAGATATATTTTTATAGTTTTATTAAATTCAATCCAAGTAGAAAACCCATTTGCAGACAAGACTAGGCAAAACCCATTCCGAAACAGCCATGAACAATACCAATCCCCCTAGTTTGGGGCCGCGCTCTGGGACTGCCATATCGAAGAGGTGTAACGTCCCAAAGTTTTGTTGCTGTGAAGGAGAAATGCTCCTTGTTTCTGCAATGATATGCATAATGCAAAACAAACAGAGATAGGACAATGTCTGTGTGACTAGCATGCATTACCCAAAACTAAAATGATTAAAAAGGAATATAAAATCCAGCAAGCGTTGCTAACAAAGAAATTCCTGAAATTGGAAAAAGTAAAGAGCGTGAACCAAAATTGTACAGTAAAAATCAATACCCTGATTTCTGCGAAATGTACACCAACTTCCTTCCTGCCTTACAATTCAAACTGCAACTAATATACAAAAATCATAAAACCAGGGTGCAAAAGAATCTGAGGTGTTATATCCACAGCTTGTTAGGTACAGCAGCAGCTGCAGCAATGGTGAAACAATCTCCAGTTAATGTTGGGGTAATCCCTCCAATAGCAAAATTGTCAAATTCCGTGTTCTCTGGCATCATATACAAAGAGATGCAGCTCCCCATCAACTCAATCCCGGTGAAATAATTAGATCGATAGATCAATGTGACCTCTGAAAAAATCCTCAACACTCCCAAAATTGAAGAGGATAAATAAATCAAAGAATTAGACGCACAAATAAAACAGGGGTCAGCAGCAAGATTTGCTCCCTACATTACACGAACAAGAAACACCCATCAAAATCCCTCTCCAAGCAGATCAAGTAGCTGATGATGATCTTGAATCTTCTGATTTGTTTGTACGACACATGCAATCAGGGCATGGGAAGGTATATATTGAATCATTTGGCCTTTTCAGTTCAAATCCCTTTGAGTCACTATGAGACCGCATATTCAGCATTTGACGCTTGAAACTTTTCCATCTGGAATAAAAAGGAAGGTAAATTGAACCCAGCAGTTCTTATTTCCAATTATCACAAACAAGAGCATTCTAAAACAACCCGCAAAGATATGTGTTTCATTGTAGAACAGAGCAACTCTCCCTAGATTTTCCCCAAGAACACTTCCAAAATGAACAATTGCAAACCACCCCATCAAGTATGTACTTCACAAAAAAAAGAAAACTAAACTATAAGATCTGAAGTAAAGTTTTTAGTTTATCTGTTTCAAGATGTATTTCTTCATGTTTATCACCACCAATGTTTCTTTCTACCTACTACAGCCACTGAACAAGAGGAGGAACCAATCCCCTTTTAGCCTGAATCCTGATAGAAATCACCAAATTTCAATCATTTTGGTCTTCCTTTTTCTTTTTTCTTTTTTCCTAAATCAATCATATTTGATCCTTCAAGAAAATACAGGCAACTTAAAGTATAGTTAGGTTTAGCATAAGATAAATCCATACCCGATATTGGGATTATCAAACAGCAATGCTAACTTTCGCTTGTCTGGTCGAATTGTCTTGGAGTGTCCTCCATACAAGTATCTCCTGTGGCCCATCAGAAAATGAGGAAAATTTCCACCTTGAGTTGTGACAAATACCTGACTATGAAGGCAAACAGTATAGTCTATGGCAGCCATCCTGGAAGAAAAGTTCTGAAACCAGTAATCAAGTCAAAAAGATGACACAAAATAAAAAAATCTCAAAAGATATTATTGAAGGACTACAAGAAATAACGGAGTTGTGAAATCTTGTATATGCTTCCAACCTTATATGGAGCAAGTTCTTCCTCTGATGCCAGCATCTCTTTTGTTTGCAAGTTTGGAAACATTTCCAATAACGGAGCCATTGTTTTCTCAGCATTGTATATTTTTCCAGATGCCAAAAAGATATATGTATCGTTATCAAATCCCATTCCTCTAAGCATCAATCCAACCTAACAGGTGCAAGAAAATATTAAATCAATTATCATTGATACAAATGGTGTCTATCTTGCGTACATATATATGAACTATCTTGAGATCACTTAAATTAACAACAAACACCATAGCTATAGCAGTTGCAAACTCATCTATGTTGAGTGAATTTTTGTTTTAATCTATCATTTAAATACCAACTTTTGATCAAGGTCAGATAACAGACATATGAAACTGTCAAATAGCCAAGGAAATTCTATAAGCCAGTACAAGAACAACAATGAGTTATATTTTTTAAGATTCCACAACTTCAAGCAGCACCACAGTTCAATAAATGAGCAAATTCATCCACTTCATGATCTTTAGTACATAAAGAAACTGTAAAGCAAATTCACTCTTAAATGTGGAAAGCTATACCAAGCCATAATGCATTTTACAATTACATCAGTTCAGCATAATACTAGTCCACAATGCTTGACACTGGACAACAAAGTACTAGGAATCATATTATATATTATAAACACGTAAAGGAAGAAAAGAACAAATAACCACTGAACCAGAAAAACAAAATAGTTCCATAATTACAACATAATGAATGTTTTTGTCAGGGACACATGCTAGACACTTAAACGTGTGATTTGAAAATTCTAGTTTTCATTCTATTTTAAATTAGTTAATAAAAAATAGGGAATGTTCTTGGCTTAGAGTAGAAATATAAAATATTCATGCCATGACATTTAAATAATGCGATGGTGACTTGTAATAGATTTTGATATTAATCATCTTTTATGCCATATATTTATTATTATTTTATTATTTATTATTTTTATTCCATTTCTATTTTATCCTTTTTAATTTTATTAATACCCTTTTTATTAATAGTTTAAAAACATTCGATGCCATATAACAACACATTTAAAGTATGAACAGAGAAATTTCATTATGTATTTGAGCAATTTGAGAGCCTCTGACTACCATCAGCAAATAAGACCTTAACTCATCAATAAACTAATCAAGAAAACCTATAAACCCATTCCTGAAGCTGTTGTTTACCAACCCTAATCTACCATGTATCATCCCAATCTAACAATAGTAAAATTATCACCAGGCAGAGATTGCTTAAGTTCAATTTTCAATGAAAGCAAATTTATTAATCAACAAAAGTGCAACCATACCTCTAAAGGAGTGAGTGGGCATTTCCCATTGATCCTGATTGCTCCAGGGCGTATAACTCGGCCAGGCTTTGTAAATTTTCCTTTCCAGCCTCTTTCCCTCGCTTTTTTCATGTCTTCTTTTTCTTGCTGCCCACCATCAAATACACAACAAGAGAAAGCAACCATATCCTGAACATGAAGGAGTATATTATACACTTCTTACACAAATGGAACTGATAATAATGCTATTAGTTTCTACCAGGGAAAATTTACCACCACTAATCGTCATAACAGTAATATTTTTATATTAAAAGAGATCATCATAATACATTTCTGTTTAAAAAATACCTACCTCCTCAAAGCGAAGATGTACAGAAACATACTTGCCACCACTGTTTGCACTGAGCTCTTTCATTCTTGTAACCAAAGTTTCTCCAAGACTTAGTATTGGACTTGAAAACCGTAAAGCTTCATAATTTGCCAGGCATCTGAGTCTTTGTACAGCTGGAGGAGCATCAAATGATAAGCGGTTTGCAAAAGGAGAAATCCTTATAATCCTGAGTCATTCAATCAGAAACCAATTACCTTAAATTAAGACAACAATAACCAGTGAAGATCTCAACAAAACCAAGCAACAAAAAAAAAAACAAACAAAACAGTGCACTTTATGATCCTAAGTGATTCGATAATGCTTAGTCACCATATGTCAGTCAAGTAAACAAGCTAAACTTAAAACGAAAAAATTATGCAACTAACAATGTTCAAACTCACTTTTCTTCGAGGAGCTTGGGTAGAACTACATCCCTATAATACTGAATGGATGACCAAGCTTTAATTCTGAAGTTGTAAACATTGGTCAGATTATGGCCAAATCGTTCCATCATGTACTCAGGAATCTTATTAACAACCCGTACATCATTCTTCAAGGCATTGATGAAATAATCTTCATCATAGATGTCTTTGAATTTGCTGGAAAAGTAAAAACTTCAGTCAACATAATAACAAAATGATTTGCAAAACATGATATCACAAAATGTTTACAAGGTAAATTTTACCTACAGCCGTTGTGGTTTCAACTTTTCCCACTTAGCAGCCTCTGATTTTTTTTTTCTCAAATAGCACCTTGTGGTCAAGTTCCATTCTCATAAGAGGTTATGCCATTAATATTATCTAGTAATATTATGAAAATACCCTTAAAAGTGAACAAACAAGATACTTTTTGAATTGAGGGTATTTTGTTATTTTACTTCGTGATATTAACAATGCAACCCTCTCTAAGAATAGAATTTAATCAGATGGTGCTAACTGAGAGAAAAAAAAACACAAGGTGCTATGGTGGCAATTGGCATTTTACTGAGAATGTGATTGCTTTGAATGTTATTATTGTCCGGGAGATAGCATTGCAACGTGAAATTGTTGATTAAAATCCTAAGAAGATCACATTGCATTGTTTGGTTTGGAAGCACTTTATTGGAAATGTAGTATTAATTTATAGAATTACCCTTGTGTATGGAAAAATAAAATTGAATAAACTTACAATCCTTTTAATGTAAATTTTTAAGTTTTCAAACTTAATCTCTTAAAATAATAAGTAATAACATGATAAAAATAACATAATATTTGAATACTAATTACTTAAATATTAAAATATGTGAAGTTACTAAATTTTTATTTTTTATAATAATGCCTATAACTATTAAAAATAATTTTTTTTTGTAATAATGCCTAAAATATTACAAGAATAATAAAATATGTTATCTGAAGAGTTTTCTGATTTTTTTTATCATTGAACTTCTTTGGCTAATGATTTTTTGCTTTTATTTAGTAAAAGTTAATAACAATTGCTTTTAATTATATGACCTTCTTAGGCAACATGGGCGGCACTGAAGACATTCACAACAACTATACTGATCTCGAACGATTTTCCTTGTATCACCAAAGAAAACAAAGATTTTCATTTTTCATCTCCTTGTTTTTGCTTCTTTAGCTTTTTCTTTCTTAATTTTCTTTTTTTCTTTAATTTTTCATGAACCAAACAAAGCCAGAGGATTTAAAATAAAGAATTAAAGGGTGCAAATTTTAGAGGTATAGCAAAAGTTAAAAAAAGGTTCATTGCAGAATATGTGGAAAATCCACTTTGCTGTAATTTTTAGGCATACATACCACCATAATGGTTTAGAAGGTTTAAGGATCGAGCTAGGGTTCTCATTGCAATGGGTAAGTTACACTCCAACCATAAGCAATGGGAATCACATTCCCATTGGTCATTGGAAGGACATTCCCATGGGTACTTTTTATACCAAACATCGGAATGTCCTTACACCCTATTAAAATGCAAGGAAAGTGCCCCACTTCCACTATGCCCAATGACTCCTACGTGGGAAAACCTGAAACCACGGGTTATAGGTTGAATTTACCCATGTTTATAAGGAACAAATAGGTGTAATGTGTAAAAGAAAGAAATGATGTGTAAAACTACAAAATGAGGTAAATGGACCTAAAAATTTGAAATCAGGGCTATGTTTGGTTTTAAATTTTTTAAATGCATTTCATTTCTTTTTTTTGTTTTTCATTTTAACAGTTCCCTTAAAAATTTCCTTTCCCTTATACAGCTAATTTCAGTAATATTTTAATAAAAGAGCTTCACGGCCTAATGCAGCCAATAAAGAAAATTTGTATAAGTAGATAAAATCAAGATATCAGGGCAGAAATTAGAAGTAGGTAATGTACCACTCCATACCAGAATCAGGTCATAGGATATTTACGAGATTAAGCTTCCCGATAAATATTTATTTGTCAGAGAACTGATTACTAGGACTTTTATCACTTAACCTTAATGGTACACAACCAACATGACATAACTGAAAACAGATGATCACAAACCTGGGATCCCGCCATATGCTATGATAATGGAAATTAGGGATTAGAAGTGTCGCATTAAGATAGCCTGCCACAGCAACTGCATTGCATATCTACAAAGTATCCAAAACAGCCATGTAGAGAAAATATAATTAACGAGATCATAAAATAGGCAACCTTCTATAAAATCAAGGCAAATTATATTATGCAATAGAAACTAATGATGAATAAAACCAACCGATGTCCTCTGCTGATTTAAGCCTCCATTTGCCTCAACATATATGTAACCATTCGATTCAGGTAAGTCTATAGTAGTCAAAAGAAAAACAGCTAAATTAGAATATTTTGAAGCAAATAGTCAACAACCAAAAACCATACAAAGTGCATACAAACATGAAGCATGCACATACACATGCATGTAGAGAAGACAAGCATGGCAAATACTTCAAATGTGCAAAGCGCCAGAAGTGACACCTACAACTCTAAATGTGTGAGCTTTACACTAACATGTTAGTGGGGCTCCTGAGGCCCTCACACATATTAGGATTCTTGCAAAAATTTTAATGAGTTGCTCTCTCCCATAGCCAGACTTCCACATCTTCTCTCCTCCCTCCCTCTCTCACTCTATTCCTTGAAATAGCACTCTCAAACCCTGTGACTCGGGCTCAACAGTTTAGGCGAAAGAAATCATATCAACCAAACATGTTACAGGTGTTGGCATGGAACATGCTTTTAACGCAGCTTTAACAGGAGGATAGTTAGCTTCTAATGCTACAAATTCTCCTTGACATAATGGCAAAATCTCATGGCAAAACTTAACCAAATTGCATGTGACATTAAAAGACATACTATTTAAACTGTCATTAGAATAGAAACCCAATTGCAATGCTTATCACCCCAAGATCATTGACCTCACCAGCCTGACAACCTAGTCAATCAACTTACTGAGTAGTGTGAATTTTTAAACAAACGATGTCTACATGTAATCTAGAAATATACACTTGAATATTTATGATTTGTATGAATGGGGGAGTGCCAGGAAGCTGTGCAAATGATTTTAACTCCCTTCAGATGTAACAACAAAAGATGCAAGTGTCTGATTCCAATTCCTTTGTGGCTAGATTTGAAACCTATGCCTGGAAGCCTACCAGCAATTAATACTCAGTTGTGTGCTCATATTGATTTCCCTTATATTATTTACACACCAAAGTCATCACTTAGAAAATAAATAATCTTCCAAATTTTTTTTAGTCAACTATTGATGCTTGCAAAAAGTTACCATCAACAACAAATAGAGTACATACAAAATAAAAAGAAGCAAATTTGTTCTCATTTGCCAAAAGTAATGCTAATATCAATGAAGTAATAGAAGCATTATCATGAACTGCTTAAAATAAAATAAAGAGTATAAATTCCTACCTTCAAAAGACTTGTTTACACACGGTCTCCACTCTCCTCCTTTATAGGAATTTCTCCAAATAGTCGAAATCTACAAGAAATTCAATAAAGATTAGGGTGGATATAATCACAAATCATAAATCAGCATCAGAGGAGTTAACCATTGGATAAAATAAATTTGCATAATATAATCAGATTTTATTATAATTCATATTGCTCTTAAGAATCACAATGAGAGAAGCTGGAAAAGAAAAAGAGCATATAAGGGACCTAATCAACTGAACATATTATGAAATGATACCATGGCAACTGCTTACCATCCTAGAATTCTGGTAACAAAGTGATTATGTTAATCTTATACCTATACCGTACAAGACACTATTATCAAATTATCAAGTTAGCGTGGAGGAAGCAACTCATCAATAAATCACCAGTAAAGTACAGACTTAAGATTTAATCATTCAAAGTAAGCTTCTGATCTCAATTAACTGTACTGCAAACGGAACCCAGTACAATTATCTTTATCAAGTTACCTGTTAAAAAAAAAAAAGACAGCTGGCTAGACGATGTAATTTCCCATGTTATTCAGATCCAGATACAATCCCAAAGATTGATACAGCTGGAAATGAAGCATGTACAACAAGACACAAGGGTCTACTTCCTCGGGAAACAATAGTGAAAATTAAAAAAAAAAAAAAAGAATAATGCTAAAAGCGATTCCTTGATTCAGCATTCTATTTCTCTTCGTTCTACAAATTTAGATAAAAAATAAAAATCCTTACTTTATTTTAAAATTTCAAGAATTTGTAGAATTATTCAAATTTACTTGAGTCTAATTCAAATATATAACTTAACATAAAATCATCAGCAAAAAAAAAACAACTAACTACATTGTCCAAATTCCTCAAAATTCTACCAAGATCCATACCCAGAAGAAAAAAAATGAAAATTAAACTCAAATTTTGGAATGATTCAACAAACAAATCCGACCCAAAACAGACAACCACACAAAAGTCCGACCCGCAATCATAAAATCCAAGAATCCATCTAAATTGACTAAAAAGGAACAAATTTAAAATCAATAACTCACCGCATCAGCGGAGGAATTATCGCCACTCATATCGATTTTAAGCTTTTCATAAACCTGGGGACTCCGGTAAACAGAGCCGGGTGCGGGTCGATGCTTAACAATGGGAACCACATCAAACGAAACGGTGCCCATGTAAAGAAGCATCCCAGAGATGTAAATGAGAGGAGCAAAGAGGAAAATCCCTTGTCGACGAAGAAGAACCGAGAGAAGTAACCAAGCAAGTCGATGGGCTATGGTCCGCCCAGGTTGGAACGGGCCAAACCTACCCGACTTCCTTCCGTGGCGGTACCTCGGTGACCGTAATGGTGACGCCGGAGGTGATGGGGTGCTGTGGCCGCTACTAGGAATCCTATTTTTCGCGTGCATTTGAAAAAAAAAAAATATTTCTTCGGGTCTTTTTTTTATTCCGTTGAGTTTCTCTTCCTTTTTTTTTTCTTGCTAGCTACGTCATAGAGGAAGATGAAAGCTTCGCAAGTGTTTTTCTTTTTTTGTTCTCTTTTCTCTCCTGTGAATGGGGGAGAGAGAAGAGGGAAGGAGGGGGGGCTGGCGGAGAAAGAAAGGAGATGTTTTTTTGTTCCTAGTGATTGCAACAGAGGGGAGGAGAAAGAGGAGAGAGCACGTGCACGTGCACGTGCTGTTTGGGAGAGAAGGGGGGAAAGAGGAGAGGGCTTAGGAGGTGTGTTTGGAAGGGAAAGTATTTGTCTTTTTGGTTCAACTTATAAACATCACACGTACGTTTTTCTTCATTTTATTTACGTTGGGTTGTTCATTCTCCTGTTTTTTGACCTTTTGAAGTAATTGGTCTTTTTGGTCAATATGGTGATTCATGCGTCCTTGGATTTCCCTTCTATTTTTTTTATTACAAATGGGAAAAATTAGTATTACAAATGTTAAGGTAAATATGGTTTAGGATCATCTTGATATTGTTGTTTCCTTATATCAACCAGATTGGTAATTGGGGTGAATATACCTCTAAATTTCATAAGCTATCACCTTACTTCAAACTCAACAATCTTTAGTATATGTGTGTAATATTTCAATTCATGAGAATGATCAAACAAATAATCAATAGTAAAAATTTTCGTCTGAAGAGATTTGATTAGTTTTGGTAGACAAAGTTTGATCATGTCATTAAAAGAGTGGCCTTGGAAAACTAAGAGAAGGCTCAATCACCTCATGAAAATTCCCAAAGGAAATTAATATAAACTATAATCCAAAAAAGTGATGGCGGGGTCATAATAAGAGTAAATAAGATGGTATATTATCATATATAATTTTTGTAGGATAAGGATGATGAAAGAGGAGGTCGCAGTCGCTTGTAGGTTAGTGATTCTCTTCTCTTCATAGTTGCCACTGCGAAAATGTGGGGCCACGTGCGCTGGCGAGAGAGAATAAGCCCGGCGTGTACCGGTTGGCGATTGCGTGCCCAGGATTGGGGCCGTGTTTGGCCACGTCATTGAGTTTGGTCGTAACAGCTTATCATTATTTGTCTATCTGTCCGCCTACCAGTTGGCGACTCGCTGCAACTTGTGCCCGCTACGTACTGTTATGGCTTTTATAATATAAATATTTCTCAGAGTATGGATTAAATAAAATTTTATTTATTTTGTTTTTTAGAAAATATTTTAATTTTTTTAAAAAAAAATTTAAATTTAATTTTATGATATATAAATGTTATAAATCTCATCTACCTACATATCTTAATATTTAGATACGAAACTTTGAATTTAAAATTTAAAATTTAAAATTCTAAATTCTAATCATTATGATTTTTCCTTTCAAACAACTTTTTTTCCCATAAATAATATATGCATATCAAAAGGACGAAAAGAATCACATGTTTTAGAACCCTTGGTTTAGGTACTCATCTCTTGAAGGAAGAAGAGTTAGAACCGAAAGTTGATATCCTCTGCACTTGCATCTCGCCATTAGAAAATAAGAAAAAATAAAATAAAAAAAAAGGAAAGAGGCCAAAGCTGTTGTCTGGCATAATATCATGTGGTGTAGTTGCATTTCATTATTGAATCATAGCACTCGTAGGCAAATCATGTGAGACTGAAATCGTGTCCAAGTTTTAATTTATTCTTTATATCATCTGTTTAATATAATAATTGAGTGGAGCACGCAACTTCCACGGGGAAACTGAGAAAAGAAGTAGCCCAAAGATAAACTTCCCCTCGGATTTAACTAGATCCATAACAACATTACTCAATTAGGAACATTAATAGTATATATACATACATTATTACATTCGTTTAATTTGTTGTGTCTTAGGTTCATATAAGCATTTATAAAAACCTGGAAAGAATGTCCCTCATTTTGTTATCATGGACAAGTTGAACCATGACTTGAATCATTTCCATAATCAAACAAAAACAAAGGATTTTTGAGTGAGAGTTGCCATCAATTGTTTGATTTGAAAAGTGTGGCCATTTGTATATTTGTCATTGCACTGTTCATTTGAAGAATTATGGTCCTAAGAGCAATTAAAATCGGCGCATGATTGGACAAATCATCCCCAATTCCATCCAATTTGCTGCTCTACTTAAATCGACAGCAACTTCACACAGCAGAATAACAATAATACTAACAATTGGTAAATCACTTCCTCAATCAACATCCAAATCAAGTTAACATCCACCAGAGAGCAAGCCGATGACTAACAAGTCCTTATCATAAACAAGCCAGCACCGCAGTAATCATCTTATAATTCAATTAAGAAAACGACGTGCCATCAATCAAGCAAGAACACAGTGGAGCAGAAAAGAAAAGTGTTTCCATTAGCAAATTCTAATTCTAATGATTAATCAGTTCCATCCAATTCAATTAAAACCCCCAGACCCAAACCTAACCCCCTCCAACACTGACAAAGCTCATAAGCTTAAATCATTGAACCAATTATTCATGGAGAGTGCCTAAAATATCCTCATCTCTATACAAGTGAAACCTGCAAACCAAAAACAAAACCCAAAAACAGTTCATTTTATCAAACCAACCAAAAATTTCAACAAGGAAGGAAAAACAAAAAACCAAAAACAGAGTTTTACGAGCATACTCTTTCTCGCCAAGCTTGACTTGAGAACCCCCAAACTCAGGCAAAAGAACGGTGTCACCTTCTTTAAAAGGCACTGGGATCGTTTTCCCTTCCCTGTCTCTTGCTCCTGGGCCCACGGCCACCACTCTCCCGGAGTTCAGCTGTTTTGTTTTTTTTTTAATAATCAAAATCAATCAAACCGTTTAAACACAAAAAAAAAAAAAAAAAAACTGAAAGGCCAAAAAAGAGTAAGAAAATTTGAAGTAAGAAAGTTACCTTGGTAGATTTCTCAGGGAGGAGAATGCCAGCGGTGGTTTTGGAAGGAGGAAGGATTTTCTCAACAAGAACTCTGTTAAAGGTTGGAATCAAACGCTTCGCCATTTGAAGCTTAATTTGGGTGTACTCTTTCCTTTCACTGGTGCAAGTGAAATGAAGATGAGATTGCTTGTATTATAGGAGAAATGAGAGGAGGAGGGAAGGCTTATTGGCTTGGGGTTCAAGATCTGGAGGTGATAGAACCTTCTAGGCGTTAGGGTTTTAGGAGTTCGCTTCTCTCAGGGTTTAAGAAATCGAGGGGGATGACCCAGCGTGCTTTTCTTCTTGTATTGATATGCAGTCCGGAGCAATTTGAGTTGAGCCCAATCTCATATCCAATTTAAACAACTAAAGCCCCAGTTTACAGGTAGGAGACTGGACTCGACGTTTCAATCAGGCCTTGATATCAAGGCCCTTATCAATCACCACTACAAGACTGCCAATTGCCTTTTTAATTGTGGCTTGGTGGGCTATTTCGTGGGGATGACCTTGCGTCATTCCTTCGACCCCCTTGGAATGACGCAAGGTCATGCCTTCTTGCCTTAATTGTTTGTTCTTGCTATGGGAGTTCTTTCTTGTATGTTAAATTCTGCTAAGGCAAGGCCTCATTGCTTATTATCCATGCTGTAGCAGAATCAAGCTTAATCATCTTTATTTTCGTTGATGATATGATGATTTTTATGAAATGATGTAAGCATTCAATGGTCCAAGTCTTTAATGTTTTGCAATCTTTCTATCAGTTATTAGTTGGCCTTTAACTGAACCTGCTAAGAGTGAGCTATTTCATACAAGCATGTCTAGTAGTGAGCTGTTGGAAATTCAACAAATGCAAGATATTTGGGTGTGCCCCTTCTTCTAGAAAGCTAAGTAACAAGGATTGCCGGCCTTTGATTTAAATAATCACCATGATGGGATTAATTGCTGGGCAGCTCAGAGACTATCCTATAATGGAAGGCTACTGTTGCTATAGTCTCTTGTGTTTAACCTTCAAAATTACTATTCCGGCATGTTCCTTCTTCCTAAGAAAGAAAAAGAGTTGTTCAACTATATTCTTGTCTCTTATGGAACGGTAAAGAAATAGACGGGAGGGGAGCTAAAGTTGGTTGGACAGCAAGCAATATATTATCCAAAAAAAAGTGGCCTACACATAAACATATTTTCATATGGAATGTTGCGCTATGTTTTGGAGCAAATTGGGGCTTTATTTACTCAAGCTGGCTCCCTTTGGGTTGCTAGGATCAGAGCCTATCTCTTAAAACCCAGAAGTTTTATTGCAAATTAGCTGTCCTCAACATTGCAATTGGGTTTTGAGGAAGCTTTTGGTACTGACGGGTACTGCCAGAGCTTTTATTAAGCATAAGATTGGAAATAGTGAAAATATTTTCTTCTAGTATAACGATTGCCTCTCTTCTGGCGCTCTCCTAACTAAGTTTGGCAGAAGGAATTTCACAACTCATTCCTATTCCTGAAGATGCTACAGTGGCTTTTTGTGTATAAGAATGGTGAGTGGATGTGGCCTCTTACCATTACTCTGGAGTTGCAGCAAATCAATATGATGTGTTATCAGAAAATTGAGAATAAATTCTTTATTGTTAAATTGTATTTAATTTTTAATTACCATACAAAAATAAATAAACAGGTGATGCTTGTTCAGATGTGATATCAGCTAAAGAAATCATAAGTATGCACCATAAACTTTAACGTTTAGACATACTGCACCAGTCTTTTGGTTCTCTGGGTACAATGTATGCCTTTCTAGCTGGAACAATAGTCTACCAAGTCCATTATCAATATCTGTTGTACCTATTTTTTGATGCTTTAAGATATAATGTATGTAGACACACTGAGGGTGAGCATCTAAATCATAAATTCCGACCGGCTAAGGAGGGGATCTATATCGTGATTTAATATATTTATACTGAGTGATATGGGTAGGAAAGTGGCAGAATTATTGACTCAATTAGAGGTCCAACCCATGCCTCAATCACATCAGGACTGCCATGTTCATTATGCTGTTGCAGAAATTATTTCTTTTTTCTACTCTTTATCATTACAAAAATGTCAAAAGTGTTGGACACTCAAAACACTCATATGCTCGTAAGAAATACATGTTCATGAATTTATTATCTAATATTCATGCCATTATAAGTATTTTAGGCTTATATTATCCTGGTGAAAAGATTTTTGAAGGTAATCCCAAGTATATATATTTCTTTTTCCTCATAAAACAAGGGTGTCAAGTTTAATAACCTATATAATTTTGAATTAAAAAGTGTGTATCTCACCCGAAGGAACCAACTTTTCCCATCATACTAAATCTATGCTGATTTTTGTAATATAATTTCAAAACAATTCCTTGCTGTCCCTGATTTACAGGCACTCGACTTCTTTTATAGGTAAATTTTGATTTTCCTTTTGCTAATTTCCTCAAAAGAAAAGAAATATGCGTTGAACATATCCAATGCATGTAGACTACCACAAATAAAGTGGACAGGCACTGAGAGAATCACCTAAACCAGGCCGACATTTTCATGCATGCAGTTTTCTTTGATATAAAGAGAAAATTCCAGACCATGTGTGATGGCACCAACTTGTTGGAACTCAAAGCCAAGCCATGTTGAACATGATCTCTCCCACCAGCTGTTTGTTTCATAGAAGAAAAAGGGGTCGTGTTACAATCCAGCTCCAATTACTTTTTGAAGTATGGTTGACATTGCTAGGGCCACATTTACGTGTCAACAATATTCCATCACCACCACCAGCTTTGCCTTCGCCATCCAACTTGCGGATGGGCTATTGCCTGTCTGTGGTTCAAAATGTTTCCAAAAAAACGAAAAAACTGCATTTTGCTTCAGCCTTCAGAATCACCACAAGAATGTTTTTGCAGAACCCCGTTAGTGTTATCTAGAAAAGAAACCTTTTAAAAATGGGGTGGTGCCTACCTTTTGTAGCGTTAACTTTTGTTGCTAGCTTTTACAAAATTCTCTTTCAAGAATTAGTGCTTCAGGGGAAGTTGCGTCGAGGACCTAACATTTCTAACACAGATGTATATCTTTTCTTTAAAAGAAGCAGTGAGAACCATAGACTTTGAATGTTAAATCATGCAGCAAAATAACCATTCAGCTTTAGGGGGTTGCAAGCAATTCAAGCCAGGAGTTTGCTGAAAGTGGCTGCAGATTCAATCAGAGTGATAAAGCATGGAACAGCGAGTCAGAATCGGTCACTGTCTCATTCACATGGATGATAAAGATGTGTTTATAGCATCAAACACCTTTATGATCACATCAACACTTTGTCATCATTGTTAATTTAATTGCACTAAACTAATTCAACTGTCTCCAAATGCTGCATTGTTCTCTGTAAGAGAAACTCAGATTTGGGCTTAACTCCTAGCATCTTAAGTTATTGCAATGAAAAAGATACAAAGTTATCCTCATACGCCAGGCATATTATCTATACATCTTTACTATATTCCCTATTTATCCTATTGAAAAACAAAAATGCCTATCGTGTCAAATAAGAGACGGTGATATTGATCAGTGGGTCTCCTTGGTAATCATACTGCAATGAAACCAACATCCAACTAAAGGTCTTACTGTAACTAATCTTACCAACAAGCAACGTTGCATCTCTTGTAGTCCTAGTAATTTATCTTTTATCAAGCAGTCGACCGAAAGATTTATGGGGGACAGTTAATAAGATGCTATTGTTTCGAAACAGTATTTCCTGCCTGTCCTGTCTTACCTATTGCTTCCTTCAGTGCGTACATGCTGTAATATTGATAGCATTTACAAATCTAACAATCTTTGTAACAGCTTTACCCATCATATATCTAAGATATTTGTAACTGTTTTAGCTTTTGGATGCTGCTGCACAAGTTGTTCAATTACGTATTCATCTGTTTTTCTAATTCCTGAGGTCAAATCCTTTAGGATATCAAGCCTAAATCATGCCCATAAGTTTGAGTTTGGGACGGGTATTTTTCAAGTAGGAGTTTTCTTTCTTGTCCAATACAACCTTTGCTTTTTAACTAAGCCCTTTAGACTCTTGAGGGTTTTGAGGGGAAATCTCCTAGTCCCAAATGGAAAGTCGCTTTAGTGCTTTTGTCCTGCTTTCCAGATCCTGCACTCTGTTCATGATGAGTTATGTAAAGTGGGTCCATTCTGAGATACGAAGGACCTCTTGAAGGTGGTCTCTGGTCCTGTTTCAACTTTTAAGTAATAGCCGTGGATGCTGGAGTGGAGAGCGATAATGCATTCCGCATTAGTGCGCTTTTTCACCCAATGCCTTGAATTCTAGTCCCTCCTCCTAACCCATTATGGCTCCAACTGCTCTCAGTGCTTGTTTAGGGCAGCTTCTGTACCCCAAAATTCAAGTAGGGCTAATCAGTTTCTAGCTTCCATAAACGTGGACATTGACCTTCTAGCAGCTAAAAGCTGAAGTGCCAGAATTGAGCTTTCGAAAAAAAGGCTGATATATAGGCAAGTTTAATACATTTCCTTAACCACCAACAGTCCTAGTTATTTACAATAATTTCAATTTGACTTCACTACTTTATACAGTTCCAATTGAGGTAAACAATATCTTATATGCAAAGAATTCATCTATTTACTCTATATATTAATGGTATGGGATCAATCAGCTCTCGGGTACTTTATTTTTCCTTAATAGGAAGAGGGGGGAAAAATGATCAATAAACTCAGGAGTTTTGAATGACCACCAAGTGATCGCGGGGTGGGCGTGCCGGAGTGGTTATCGGGCATGACTAGAAATCATGTGGGCTCTGCCCGCGCAGGTTCGAATCCTGCCGCCCACGCCTATGTCCTTTTTACCTTCTCGAAAGATCAAGCCTAACACCAACGTTTTTTATTTCTTATTCTCTTTAGACCTTTTTGTTTGGTTGGGAATCTTTCTTTTGGTTTTTTTCTGTATGCCCTTTTTACCTTCTGGGAAGATGAAGCCTATCAAAAACGCTTCTCCCACCCCCTTTTGCCCAATTGGAAATAATTATTTTCTCAGAGAAACTAGATAAATATGATGACCGCATAACTTTAGAATCTATACTTCCTTCCCCTGCAGAAAGAAGTGAAGCGATCACAAAGTTGAACACTACCCACTTACAGCATCATCAGGTTTTCAGTCAAGCTACTGTTTAATCAATTTGATCGATTTCGCAAGTTAGAAGCCCCTCGACAGATGAGGATTGAATTCATGTTGAACCATCCAAACCTTTTTGCACTTACCAATTTCGATATATAAAATATATACTATTTTATTTCGATAGTCAAAAAATATGATTACTTAAAAACAGAGTATACTGGGAAAATAATTTAACGTATTCATAAATTTTTTATTTATTTTTAAGTAATCAAATACTTTATGGTTTCTCCAATTATCATAAACTATACAGTAATACCAATCATGACTGTTGGTTAGTATGGTGTTAAAAGACAAAGAATCTTACCCTCAACGACATTTCACATTGACTAATTCCTTTTGTTTTCTTGATCTCTACGTAGTTAAGTCTTACGGGATTCAAAGTACTTGAATTTGACAGACAATGATAGTGATTGCAACTTAACTCAATTTTAAACATACTTTGTATGTATATATGTCTCGTCTGATTAATTCGGACTATCCATCAAATTTATACGACTACGGGGTTTCAAAGCTGGAGAGCATTTTCACATTGAATTAGCTTTACCAGATTCCCTGCGTTCCCTTATAAATTTGGGTGGGGGAAACAACATATAAAATGAAAAGCAAAACACCAAACTGTCACGTGGGATTAGTTCAAGTGGCGGTAAGGAGCAGAGAATGAGCAACTAGCTTCTTTCACATACTGTAACCTTGTGACCATGTTTGTCAAATTGGACCAACCCCATTCATAGAATGCCTAGCCGCTATCATACACAAGGCAACAAAAAGCAACCGACTGCAATCAAAATTTCGCGGTTGCTACTCAAGATTAAAGGCCGGTGGACCAATTAAATAAAGTTTGATGCGTTTGATCTCATGTAATGGAGATAAGAACCTCCAAAAATTAATCATCACTCCCTTCACACTCTCTTTTTATCTTGGCTTCCTCCCTTTGACGATATGGCTTCTTGTCTTTATGTCAAAACATTCCTTTTCTCCTCACCAAATGATCATCAACCTTTTATTCTTGGACCAATCTCTTTCTCTACACGTATTCTTCCATTCATAAATTCTAACTACGAAGGAAAATGAAAAGGAAAATTACAACCCTTTGTTTTTCCTTTGCAGAATCTTTATGAGGGAAAAATTAAAAAGGTCTATATATATATATATATATAGCTTTGAAAGGCTATCATTAGGGTGTTGAAAAATATACAGTTCTTTGCGGACCGGTTTGACCTTTTAGTCATATTCTCAACCACTACAATTTTTCAGTACATTGATTAGTGCCACTTACACACGTTTGATGTTAATGATATGCGAATGGAATTTGTGTGTGAATGATATTAAAAAATATGTTTAAGGAATCCAGATTCGGAAAGGTTTTTTGAGAGGTTGGTATTAGATTGGAATAAGACATGTCACAATGCCGATTTATTAAGTAAGCTCTTTGTCTAGATTTTCGATTGAAATTATCGAACATGGTGACAAAATACTCTAGAAAGTGCTTTAGCATAATTGATGATGAATTATTGGGGTTCAAGAAATCTGGTGTGGTAAAAGGTTCAATGGATTCAACCGGCCTCTGCACAACCTTGAATAAGTAATCTCTAATTGTTTGTATGTCATCATTGAGAGGTCATGGAACTGATTAACATTTGACCATCTAAGTCATCTAACAGTGTATCTGTGGGGTCCCAAAAAGAAAGATTTATCTTAACTAAGTGGGGTGGCAATTTATAACTTTATATGATTATCTTTTAATCGTATAAAATTTTAAATAAATATTAAACAATATGTAAGTGTAAAGAATAAAAAAAGGTGTCAAAATTAGATATAGGTTTTTGCTTCACCAGCTAGCTATATGATGCTGTGCAAAATTTCCATTTACTCTTTTTCCTCAAGACTGCAATTGTAGCCATACTCTACCCATCAAATTCATAAACAACCAGTTCTGGAAAGTGAATGCAGGCCGCCATGGCCACCATCCCTAGCTCTCTCTATATATAAATATATCAGAAACTAAGAAGTGGAAATGGAGAGATGAGGTGCATGTATAACTCACAACATATATCCCATATTCTGCATTCAAAACATGCATGACATTGGCACACCCCTTTATGTAACTAATTAACTTAATCCAACTGGCAGCTGAAAATACATTAGTTGCCTCATCACTTTTGCACACAAACTATTTGCATGCTTAATTTACTTGACGTGCTTGATTAATACATTCTTAGATATCCACCTCCTCCCACGCTTCACTCATGAATTTATTCCATGCCTGTTGTCATATATATTAAATATTATAACTAGACGTGAAGGGCAAAAAACAAACTACTTATGTCCGGTCTCTTTCTCATTGCCTCTACTCAACTTTTAGCTAAATTATATTTTTTCAAAAAGTTTGATTAATTTATTATATTTTATGTTAAAATTTAAATTTTTTATTCTGTAAAATTGGTTTTCATGGTTTTTAATACAAAAAATAATTTTAGAATATAGGTACTTACAAAAATATGAAAATTTAATTTGAAACATGCCAATATAAGATGGACAAAGGCTATGAGACAGAGGGAGCAATTAATAGTGCAAAATGCATTATTGCTTACGTCTCTCCTTATTTCCTTCATATATATATTCAAACAAAAAAACTTTTTAAATGTTAGACCTTATAATTAATTAACCCATTAATTAAAATGCAATTGACCTTTTCTCTGTAAATCTACTTTACAGTTTACAAGCTGTACTTCATTGAAATGGCATTCCCTTTTCTCTAGTTGGGTACTTAAGATAGATAATGGTGCTCCTTTTTTGGTGCTTAAAATGAACAAATATTTAATATTCTTCATGTAATTTTAATTTTTAATTGCAAGCACTTTCATCTATATAATATTCTTCATGTCATTTTATCCCTAAAATTTTGTTGATAGTCAGAGCAAAATTGCTAAAATTGTTATTCCTTTTTTGTAAGGGGAGATATTGGACTGTGTCTCTACCACCAGTTGTTGCACGTAGATTCATGTGCGTATTTTTGTGCAAGAAGAAGAAGAAAAGGGGTAGGTGGGCTCACCAACAATGCCATACTGATAAGGCTCGCTTCTCTCTATCTCTCTCTCTCTTTAGGCACTGTTGTTCTCTATTAGACAAGTACTAGTTTGTTTGTTAGCGGTCTCTCTGGAGAAGAGACGCTCATAAATTAGAGCATTCCTCGACCAAAGCAAGCTACACCAAATTCAGTTTATTTTTCCACCACCATGGAGCTTAATGCCACCACCATGCAGCACCCTCAAACCTGCCTAGAAATAACCATGGAGGTTCATCAAGTTGTCCAACCACCCCATAAGAGCACCATTCACAAGCTTAAATCAAGGCTCAAGGAAACTTTCTTCCCTGATGACCCTTTGCGCCAATTCAAAGGACAGCCAACGAGGAAGAAATGGATTCTTGCAGCTCAATACATATTCCCTATTCTCCAATGGGGTCCGAATTATAGCTTCAAACTCTTCAAATCGGATATTGTAGCCGGACTTACCATTGCTAGCTTAGCCATCCCACAGGTCACTTCAAAAAAAATCTTGCTTTTTCTCCTCTTTATCTGATAGTAATTAGAATGTTTATCCATTCATTTGATCTCAAATTTTTTACCTCAGGGTATCAGTTATGCTAAGCTTGCTGGTCTACAACCAATTGTTGGTCTCTGTGAGTGACTCTGCTCTTTTAGTAAGCTTATTTGCAACTTTGAGATTCCTGTTTGATTGGATTTTCATTTGGTAATGCTTGTTTATTCCTTGTTGGTCTAGATTCCAGCTTTGTGCCTCCTCTTGTATATGCTGTACTTGGAAGCTCCAGGGACCTTGCAGTAGGGCCTGTTTCCATTGCTTCACTTATACTTGGATCCATGCTTAGACAAGAAGTATCCCCTGCCAATGATCCTGTCTTGTTTCTGCAATTAGCCTTTACTACAACTTTCTTTGCTGGTTTTTTCCAAGCTTCTTTGGGATTTTTAAGGTGAATTTGTCTTTTCGTTTTAAACATATCTTTGCTTTTTTTTAAAAAAAATTTAAATAACCTTTCTGATGATTTCTGGTGTAATGTGAGCAGGCTTGGATTTATCATTGATTTTCTCTCAAAGGCTACTCTTATCGGGTTCATGGCTGGGGCTGCTATCATTGTTTCTTTGCAGCAGCTGAAAAGCCTTCTTGGAATCACTCATTTTACTAAACAAATGGGTTTGGTACCTGTTTTGAGCTCCGTTTTCCACAATACAAAGGAGGTATTGTATTTTACTCTGTAGTCTGCACCAATCTATTCCGTATATGTAAATGTCACTTAAATGGTAACTGCCTGTGGCCAACTGCTGCTTGCCATAACCTCTGCTTTTTTCGGTAACTTGATAACTCTTACTAAAACTTCTTGTCTCTTGGCAGTTAGCAGCCAACTCATTCATGTCTGGCTTGCCATAACCTCTGCTCATATTTGTTCTTGTCATAAATTTATGTATGGTTTCTTTGCTTCTCATGCAGTGGTCATGGCAAACGATACTGATGGGGTTCTGCTTTCTAGTGTTCCTGCTAGTGGCAAGACATATTGTACGTCTTATTACTTCTCCTCTCTTTGTCTTCAAGTCCCATATGCAATCTGCTATCTTTATCTCTCAAAAGAATGCTCTTAACCGCCTAACAATCGAACCTGTTACTCACTCAAAGACAAACCCCCCAATAATGTCATTGTGGACGGTTTCAATCATCTACATTCACTATTTTCTTACGTCTGGCCCTGGTGCTATATTTCACCAACCAGAAAGCCTAATGTTGATGATTTTACTCTTTTCTGGTCTGCATGGATAACATGTGTCATGTATTTCCATGGTCTGGGTGGTCATAGTTTCTCCAAATGATTTCTATTACGTTTTTTTATCTTTTTAATTCTTTTATGTGGACACCCTACCAATCCTGAGTCCTGAGAGCGATATTAAATGCATTATTGACCATTTGCAACTTGAGGAAAAGAGGCCGAGATTTGAGAAAAACATTGTGTGGGAGGCTTAAACTTTCAGCTTGGACATATCAGTACAACATGTATGGGCTCTATGAGCCTTTAGCCCTTTAGCCTTCATAAGACTAATAGCTGGTTTCGATGTGCGGGGCAGTACGGTGGGATGCCTCCCTACTCTCTAAACAGCATTAGACTCGTAGTGATAGCACCGTCCCGCACATCCAAACAGGCTCTAAGTGGGTGACTTTTGCACACAAAAGAGCCTTGGTTCTTAATTTGAGCCACAGGCTCATATGATAACGATCCAATCATAGGCTGAATCCTTGATAGTCTGCAGAGTTGACTCAGATGCAATGCAAGCCACGTCAGATAGTTGGTCCCACATGAAAGTCTAATAGAATACTCTCTGACAACAATTTGGTTATGCATTTACTATCAAAATTGGGGTGTGTGCCATGCAGAGCATGAGAAGACCAAATTTGTTTTGGATCTCAGCTGGGGCTCCTCTTGTTTCTGTGATCCTCTCTACACTAGTGGTTTTTGCATTCAAAGCTCAGCATCATGGCATCAGTATAGTAAGTTTCCTGGGTCCCTCACTTAGTAACTCCTAATATATATTGCTCCACTTTTTTGTTTCTTACAGTTAATTGGTGTGCTCTACTCACTTAGATTGGAAAATTGCAACAAGGATTAAATCCTCCTTCATGGAATATGCTGCAATTTCGTGGGAGCCACCTTGGACTGTCAATTAAAACTGGCCTTGTTACTGGAATTATTTCCCTCACTGTAAGTTGTTTTAATTCCTTTTTATCTGAATCTTTTCAATAATTAACGTGACACCTCATTGAAAAGAAAAAACAAATGAGTCCACCAATCACAATTAAACTAAATGGAGGAGTTCTTCACAAAATTGCCAATGTTACCTTCGTACCAAACGCTATCAAGAGAGGGTTTTGCACGTGCTTATACCTTGATTTGTATGGAGTTGCACAACAAGTTGTTAAACTGATACTTTAAGCTTTGCATATCAGTACGTAGGCACAGCTTTTTAAACCAATTGGCAGATCGAAGACAAACCATTTAAAGCTTGATGTGCAGTAGAAACATGCATACGATTATTAAATGGCCGGTTGGCCACGACAAATTTATTTTGAAGTCGGAGCCGAAGAAAATTTCACAGACCACGATTCATCGTTATGGTAATATAAACTGATGAGCCAATAGCGGGCTTGTCAGACTATTGAACGAGTTCACAAAGGAGGTAAAGTTAAGAGGACTGACTTTTTCGAGTGAAATGAACACCCCTTGGCGGCGTGGCAACTTTCACAGTCAAGTAAAAGATAAGATACTGGTTCAACCTGCAGATGATGAAAATTTAGTGAAGGAAAAGCTAAAGGGGGTAGAATAAGAGCATGGACTTCTTAGCCAAAAATGCACCAGTTTATATTATGAAAACAGATTAAAGATCGTTCCAAAACCTCTAATCAAAATGGTATGACTTTTTTTTTTTTTTTGCATAAACCTTCATATAATCAAGTTCAGTGTTTTTTAAAAGAAGACAACACCATGCCTGCATCTATACTTAAATTGAAAGATAATTTACTTGTAAGAATATTTCGGGAAGAACAGAAATCTGTTTAGCCATTATT